CACATAATACCTGGCAGATAGTGTTTTTCAAATATATGGTGAATAGGGGCCGGCAGGTGGCATGGTGGTTAAGGATGCTAGACTCCCACATGGCCAGCCGCTGTTCAAGTCCTGGGTCAGGTGGCTTGCTTTATCACTTCTTCTCTCTCTCTTTCTCTCGCTCTTGCTCTGTCTCTATCTGGTCAAAATTAAATAAGTAGATAAATAAATAAATAAAATTCAATAAAATAATTCTTTAAGAAATAAAAATTTCAAAATAAAATATCTGGTGAGCAAATGTGTTAAGTCTGTGCATTTTTCTGGCATAAGTGACTGTACTTTCAAAAACTTAACCAAAAAAAAACCACATGGTCAAAAAAACTTTATGATCTGAAATGCTGAGAGTCAATACAAAAAATGTTTCTTCTTATAGTATATGCTTTCCTTTTAAAAAGAATTATTTGACTTTATTTATTATTTTAATTTAACCAGAGAGGGACAGAGTGAAAGAGAGAGAGCAAGAAAGTGAGAAAACAAACCGCCATGTCAGGGATTCGGTCCGCAGACAGCCATGTGGGAGTCCAGTGACTTAACCACCACACCACCTGCCAGCCCAGCTTTCCTTTTTTTTTTTAAGAGAGATTTTTGCTATAGGGTACATACACTAGCTGAAGAGACAGAGAGAGACAGCAAGAAATCACCACCATCCCCCACCTCACCCGGGGATGGCCACACCGCAATCTTTTCTCCTCCATTCTCCTCTTGGGATTTTGGACATGAAGGTACACAGACCCTGGCATGAGTTTTAAGCTGCCAGGTGCGGGACTCAAGCTGCAGTCAACTATGTGGGACTCCAACGATGTAATGTAACCATTAAGCCATCTGCTGGTCCCAGTATATGCTTTTCTAAGATTCATGTTTGTTTTTCCACCTGTGAACAACAGAATAATATAAAAGAAGCCAGATGTGCTGGATGGTGAAAATATAATTTTAGTATCTCAAAATATATCTTTATTCTTTTGTTGTAAAGAATTATTTTACTTGGGGCTGGCAGGTGGTATAGTGGGTTAAAGGCATTGGACTCCCACATGGCCAACTGCAGTTTGAATCTTTTTTTTTGGAGAGATTTTCGCTATAGGGCGCGTGCGCTCGCCAGACAGAGAGACAGAAAGCGAGAAACCACCCCCAGGGGGGATGGTCACCCACAATCCCTTCTCCTCCATTCTCCTCTCGGGATCTTGGGCACGCACACACACGCAGCCGGCGTGAGTTTTAGGCCACTGGGTCCGGGAAATGAATCGCGGTCGAGTACGTGGGAGTCCAGCGACATAGCCATTACGCTAACTGCTGGTTCCCTGCAGTTTGAATCTTGGACCTGGTGGTTTGCTTTCTCACTTTCCCTCTCTTTCTCTCTGATCAAACTAGGAAATAATAATAATAATAAATAAAGTTAAATAAAATAATTCTTTAAAAAAATTATTTTAACTTTATTAAATTTAATTTTGACCACAGAGGAATAGAGTGAGTGAGTGAGAGAGAGAGAGAGAGAGAGAGAGAGGAAGGAAAAATGAGAAAGCAAGCCGTCAGGTCCAGCACTCAAACTGCAGTGGACTCCAGTGCCCTTAACCACCACGCCACCTGCCAGCACCCATCTTTATTCTTTTTGTTGACTTTTTTCCTAAGATCTTTTTTTTTTTGTCATAGGGCATTGCGCTTGCTGGAGAGAGAAAGAGACAGAAGTAAGAAATCGACCCCCAGGGGGAATGGCCACGATGCACACGCACACCTGGCATGATTTTCAAAACATGGAGTCTGAGACTCAAACCATGGTCCACCATGCAGGAGTCTAGCACCTTAGCCACCATGTCACCTGCTAGCCCTGACATTTATTCTTATAATGAAACAGTTCCTCACCCTATCTCTCCACCCTGGGCACCTAAATTCAAAATTTTCCTTCAGGGAGCAGCAGATGGCATAAGTGTTATGTCGCTGGACTCCAACATAGTTAACACGGTTCAAGTCCTGGGCCTGGTAGCTTAAAACTCACACCGGGCGCGTGTGCATGTGTGCCCGGAATCCAGGGAGGGGAATGGAGGAGAAGGGATGAGGCATGGCCATCCCCCCTTGGGGGGTGATTTCTTGCTTTCTGTCTTTCTGGCGAGTGTATGCATCCTATAGCAAAAAAAAAAAAAAGAAAAAAAGAAAAGAAAGAAAGAAAGAAAGAAAAAAGGAAGGAAAAAAAAGAAAAAAAATCCTTCAATTTGTATTGATTTATATCATCTCAGCATTTCCTACACTGACTCCCTGTTTCCTTAAAACACCCACTTGTAATCCATTTGAATTTGAGATAACCAGAAGGCAGCTGTTCAGGTGAGAACACTCAACACTTTTTTTTTTTTGAGATTTTTGCCTTAGGGTGCATGTGCTGGGGGTGGAAGAAGACAGAGACAATGAGAAATCACCATCCCACACCAGGGATGGCCATGCCACAATCCCTTCTCCTGGATCTTGGACATGCACTCACTCATGCACCAGGTGTGAGTTTCAAGTCACCGGGTCCAGGACTTGAACCATGGTTAGCCATGTGGGAATCCAGTGATGTAATCACTACGCTATCTGCTGGTTGCATAAACATTTTTAATATTCCCAGTCAATTACAACTTGTATATTAAATGAGAAAAAAATGCCAAGTAACAAACTAACACAAAGATTTTTATTATAATTAGCCATCAAGAAAATCCACCTAGTCTCTCAATTTGCAAAATAAAAGGGGGCTTCAAATAGTTTGTGGAAAATGAGTACTGTGAAAAACATGCTTGGATTTTTTTTTTTAATGTTGCACGGAAATTAACTGATACTTTAATTCCATTTGTTCACCAACTCTGAAGTCTAGTCAACATGGAATCATGGTAAGTTTCAGGGACAAATACAACCATGAAATAACAAGGTTCATACTTTCTACACTGAAAAAATGCACTAACAGTGCTACCAATCAAACTGTTTCAAATGTCAACTTTGGAAAGGTGTAAGACCTTAAAATACACATACACCGTAAAGTTCACACGAACTTCTACCAAATTTCTCCTCTTTTTAAAAAGATTTATTTGGTTTTATTAATTATTGTTATTATTAATTTGACCAGAGACAGGGAAAGTGAGAATGCAAGCCACAAGGTTTGAGACTCCAACCATGGTCAACCATGTGTGGGTCCAGTGTCTTAACCACCATGCCACCTGTCGGCCCTCAACCTTCTCCTCTTAATGCTAGTCCATCTTTAAAATTCAATCTCTCTAGAAAATCTAATTAAGAGGAGCCCTCTGCTTTTCAAGCTCAAACTGAACAAAATGCTCATCCTTGGTCATTTGTTTTAAACCACACGGAAAGCATTCATAATGGCAGCGTCACAGATTAGCCTGGCAGGTTTAGTCTCCCTCCATCCCCAATTGCCCAAGCACCTCCAACAGGCTACGACTGAAATCGCCAACGAACGTGCTTAGAACATTAGCAAAGCCCATCTCCAACGCTCCATCTCCAGTCTAAAAATGCACCTGAAACAGCTGCGGACACCGCCTTCCAGCCAGACTACTCAGTCCCTGCTGCAGCAGAAAGTCTAGTCACCCTTCAGAGCCAGGGAGAAGTCTGGAACTACGGGCTCTTCTTTCCTCCTCCCCGAGCGTGCCTTTCCCAGAGACACGACACACTAGCTCTCAGGACAGGGAGACCACATCTCCCTCTCGGAACGCCAGCCGGCCACCAACGTCTTCCCTCTTTCCCAAACACACTCCCAAAACACAAACCCAGGGGACAGACCCGTCCCAGGTGCAGGCACTATGGGACGCCCCCCCCACAACCCTTCCCCATTCGGACAGACTGGCCGGACTCCACGAAGAGCCCCACCCCCTTCCTACACAGAAAACTTCGGGACGCGCCACC